AGTAATTGGGACTGGCGCGCCTCCACAGGTTCCATTCAAACTAACGACCACCTCGCGGGGTGGCCCGAGTGCGTGATGCAAGCGACACTGGTACCGAAAGTCGTAGTAGCAGAACTGTGAGAAGCAATAACGCTATAATAATACATTACGTACGTGGGATACAAAGCGTACAAGTGTTAAACTGACAATAGCGCGTTCACCACAGCTAGAGAAAAACCCGCGAATGCTAATCCGCCGAATGACGAATAACCACGAGCGATAATCGTGTGTCGTGTTCACTGAACAGGCGGAAATAGTCTCGATTAATCTCCGAGGACGGCAGAGTAAATTCTATTAATCCGCAGACTGCGCATTGCTCACGCCGGGGAATGATGCCACTGCGGCAGGCCACGCTCACGATCGCGTGGAAACTGAAGGGGATATGAAGAATACCCAGGCGGATTAATTTGCGCGACGCGTGAGTCGACCAGGCAGCGGTGACCCGCCGACGGCAGCGGCAAATAATCTGCGGCTAATTGACCAAAGTATATCGCAGGTCAAGGAAAGTCTGCATTGGAGCGCGAACTGCTGAAGAGCGGCGACGATTATAGTGGGAGTATAACGATGGAGCGCGTTGCAGCAGCTGTCGGTAAATAGATGTGCGGTTCGGGTGATTTCCGATACCAGAGCAGCGATGACAGAAACCCGGGATTGGCAGTCCTCGCTTGGATTCTGCGCTGCAGGTGGTGAACGCGCCCAATGTCATGTGGAGACAGCAAGCTTCATTTATCGAGAGTTGTATATATGACAGTGTTATGTCAGAACTGAGCGGTTACCAGTTATTATTTATAGTTATATGAGTTTGAAGTATCCGTGATAGTGACTCTATTGAGTTATTCACTCCTGGTACCAGTAACATGAAGAACATATTTAGAAATATAGTATATATATATATAGTATGATATAGTATATAGTATATATATGTATACATATATGTAGTATATATATGATATAGTTATATGTAATTTGACATGTCAGATGTGTACAGCATTCGGTGATACCAGATAGCAATCGGCAGTAGCGATGTTGAATATTCTGAGAATACCGTTTCGGCAATATAATTCAACTCATTGCAAATAATATACGGACGCAGTAAAATAATATGCTGTGTGAATCGCAGAGAAGTGAGCGTTAAAGCGCTAAGGGGGGAGGGACGAGTTGCCCATGGCCTTACAGATCATAGTTGATCGGAGTGCGTGGCCTGTGGGAAACTGTAGGTCTTGTGTCTAAAGGTGCGAGCAAGATGTTGATAGCACTCGATAACTGAGGAGGGCGTCGAGGCAAGGCCGCGCCTCGCAATATATATAATGCGGGATAGAAACCCGATATATCTGCCATTGGAGACGCGCAAAAGTACCGAAGATATACTGGGCGCATAGCAGCGCCGCAAATCATGTTGGCATGGATGTAAGTACTAAAACATGGGAATCGATCTCTCTATGGAACGAGTTTTGACCTAGGAAACACATGCTTTGGCATTAACATGCAAACGTGACACAGATATACTGTCTGCAAAAAATGAGGCGCAAGAATCGGCGCGCATCATGTTGGCATGGATAGTTAGTAACTAAAACATAGGATCGAGGACTTCTATGGAACAGGTTTTGAACCTAGGAAAGCCATCTTGGCATTCGCACATGCAAACAGTACCGGAGATATAGCTGTTGCATATCACCGCGTCAGTCATTTGGCAATGGAATAATTAGTACCAAACATGGATCGATCGTTCTACTGGAACAGAGATTTGACCTTAGGAAGCCAGCTGCAATGCTCACCACGAAGAATTGTCGCGCTGAGATAAAGTCTGCATAGCGCGCCTGCAATCATTTTGGGGCATGGCATGGGATTGATCGGCAGCCTTCTACGTTCCTGTTCGGCACCGCGATCCCGGCGCACTCCCTATACTTATCCCAGTTGTGTCTCCAATCCCAGACCGGCCGCATGCGGGCTTCAATACCCCTCCCCATCCCCATCTCCAATCCTCACCCCCCATCTCCACGCGGGCAACGTTCCATGGCCTCCAATACACCCTCCCCATCTCCATCCTCAATCTCCATCCCGATCTTCCAATCCTACGCCCTCCCCCATCTCCAACGCGCGCGAGCGCCCCGAGGCCGCGAATACACCCCTCCCCCCATCCCTATCTTTCAATTACTTCGATCCTCTATCTCCAATTCCTCACCGCCCATTTCCATTACCGAAGAGTTCTCGCAAGAGTCACTGTTATAGCCTGGGCGCGCCCCGCCAGACTAGCCGTCGACGCCCCGCGCCCGCATCCTAAATATCACCCTCCACTCTAGAAATTATATATCAGCTGCTCCGTCCTAAATATCAATTAGCCCGCCGAACCCCCCTGCACGGCGAGGAGCGGCGCCCTTCGCGAACATCTGCAACATAAGACCGGAAAAGCAGCACCGCCGCCATATCTATACATGAAAAGCTTGTGGAACGAAACCAATACCCCTCCCCATCACCCATCTCCGAATCCTCACCCCACCATCTCAATACTCAGCCTCCCCAATCCCGTCCATCCGCCCATACTGGTCAACTCTCCACCCCTATCTCCACCCGCCACAGGCCCGATTTCCCGCGATCCTCAGTGTCTCAACTCCATGCCCTCGAATCTCCATATCCGTCACCCCCATCTCTCACACCCACCCCAGTCTCGCACATAACCCCTCCCCCATCCGCCATCTGCAATCTCCATCCCCATGACCACTCGCAATTTATATTCATATTCTGATCCGTCTTTCTTATTATCCATCATTATCCATGATCCGCTGATAGTTCATTCGTTTGAATCCCTTACCCGTCCACGCAATGAATATAATCATTATGCTTGTCCGCGAAGGCCGAAGTTGTTCTCTCACACCATTAATAATAGTAATTCCCCACTCTGGAGGTAGATGAATACGTCTAGTCACTCCGCGGTGGTAATCTAAGCTCTCATGAATAAAGTACGGAGTTTCTTTAGAAAAATGGAGATTTGACCGCCTCGAAAATGTGCATTTCAGATCGAATCGCACCCGCGACTTATCGCGAACATAGCGAGGGATCGCGTCACAGATGCAAGACAGAAATTCGGAACGAGAATGTGCCCGAGACTACTGTCTGCATAGCAGCACTGCATCATCTTTTGCTACGGGCATGGAATGGATACGGGCCGGCATTCTACGTTTCTTTCTCAGCGACAGCAGCGGCGCTCATTCCTTACTTATCCATTGGTGTCTGCCATTCCCACCCCATCTCCCAATACCGTCTCGGCCCATCCCTCATCTCCACAATCCTCACCCTCCATCTCCATGCCCACGCGCGGCCATCCCAATGAGGCCTTTCTCCCCGGATCCTCATCTCCATTCCCTCACGCCCCCATCCCCCACCCCATCCTCAATAATCCATGCCCCGCATGCCCCATCTCAAATCCCGGCGAGCCGTCGCCCGCATCTCAATCCTCACCCCCACATCTCCACCGCCAGCCGGCCCATCTCCAATATCCTCCCCATCCCCATCTAAATCTCCACCCCATCTCCAGATCCCTCAACGCCCCCTATGCTCCCACCCCAGCCCCCTCGTCAATACCCCTCCCGCAACCCTATCTCAAATCTCCACATCCCCATCTCAAATCTCCCATTTTCAGTGCTACATCCTCACCCCAGCCCATTCGCAATAGCCAGAGTTCTCCAGAGAGCACGTTAAATAGCCTGGCGGCGCCGCCAGGCTATTCCGAGCCCGCCATCGCGGCTAAAATGCACCCCTCCACTCTAAATTATATCAATAGCTGCCGCCTAAATATCATAGCCCCGGACCCCCCTAGCAAGCGATTACCGCCCTTCGGCCGATATTTGCAACTATAGACCGTTAAGGCAGCACCCCGCCATACCTGAATAATGAAAAAGTTGGAGAACCCTGAATACCCCTCCCCAATCGCCCATCCCTCGCAATCCTCCACACCCCCCATGCTCCCAAGTACTCCTCCATCCCCATCCCCATCTGCAATCTCCAACCCCAATCCCAATCCCACTCCTATCTCCACCCCAGCCCCCATTCCCCAATTCCATCATCCAATCTCCATCCCCTCAAGTCTCCAATCCTCACGCCCCATACTCCACCCCACCGCCATCTCCCAATAACCGCCTCCCATCCCCCTATCTCAATCTCCATCCCCATCCACCTCTCATTGATATTCATATTCCGATCCTCTTTCTATATCCATTCATATCCATATCCCTATATATTCATTCCGTTCTGATCCCTTACCACGCATGAAATATAATTATTATGTTGTCCCGAAGCCAATTTGTCTCTCACATTAATAATAGTAATTCCACTCTGGAGGAGATGATACGTCTATCACTCGCGCGTGGTAATCTACTCTCATGATAAATACTGGATTTCTTAAAAATGAGATTTCGCTCTCGAAAATGTCATTATCAGATCGAATCGCACCGACTTACGGAAAATTCGCTCGCATATCACAATGCAACAGGGGGCATTCGATTTTCGTTGTCAGGGAGATTGGTCGACGCATCTGCGTTGTTGTGACGGGTCTCAAATTAAATAAGATTTGATCGATTGATTTGAAGTGTTCTATTTCATATATCTAGTTATCCCACTCAGGGGGGGGGGGTGGATGTCTGAACCATTTTTTCAAATGGTTATCACTGTTAAAATTCGAAAATGTCGTGACTTTCACACTTCGAAAGGTGTGACAATTTACATTTGTAATGTCACGAGTGATTACGATCTCCCTCTTGTCACCTTCCCTGCCGCTCCCCTCCCGGCCGCCCTCCTCCCTCCCTCCCTTCCTTCCCTCCCTCCCTCCCTCTCGTCTCTCTCTCTCTCTCATACTATTTCTCAAAATTCGTTCATGATATTCTTGTAATGTCACGTTTTACGGTAACAACAGTAATTTTCCTAGACATTAAAACCATACATTTTCTCTCTCCATTCTTCAGCAGAGGCACCGATCGACCGCGAGACAAGTGAGCGTCCGTACGTCGTCAGCGTCGTCGCGCGCTAGCAGCCATGGCGCAGCAGCAGCAGCAGCAACAGCAGCCGTCTCACCACAAGGTGGCGCTGCGAGAGGACGGGTTGCCGCGGGCGCAGGGCCTCTACGACCCGGATCTGGAGAAGGACGCGTGCGGGGTCGGCTTCATCGTCAACATCGACGGCATCCCGTCGCAGCGGGTGAGCCACCAGGGGGCGCCGCGGCTCGCGGGCCGATCCGTCGCGGAGACACTTTGTAACATGTGTTTTGCACGTGTTACATGAAGTCGTCAGCGAGGCTAGACTAGGGTTGTTTGATGACCAGTTAGTCTGCGTAGACGCAGCGTCGCGCATATTGGGCAGCTGCATTGGTGTTACAGGGAGTTGGATAAGCGGGTTTTAGGTTAGGCAGTTTCTAGGGTCATTGTGGGTCATCGGTCGCAATGTCTAGGGATAGGATTCGGTCACGTGGCGGCGCACGTAGGGGGCGCTGAACTGATGAGAAGGGATGAGGAAAGGCATGCTCGCTAGGAGGCGCAGTTCCGACAAAAAAATACCAGGGGGCGCTGCATGCGCGCGTAGGGGGCGCTGCGTGCAGGACGCGATCTCACGGGTGCGCACGTTCGCTTGTTCAGGTGATCCGGGAGTCGCAGAGCATGATCATGCACATGGAGCATCGCGGCGCGGCGTCGGCCGACAACGAGACGGGAGATGGCGCCGGTGTGCTCGCCGGCATCCCACACAAGCTGTACGAGGCGGCGCTGCTGAGGTGAGACACGAGACGCGAGATGAGACGGAGGCGAGACAGCTCTAGTGAGGACTGCAGTGAGAAAAATACACGGGTGCTCGGGGCGGTTTAGCCCCCGAAATTCCAAAAAGAGCCCCGGAAATGCCAAAAAGAGCCCCCGGAAATTTGCATAGAGTTCAATGCAAACCAAATTTTAGAGTGCTATTTTCATGCACGCGAGCTTGAAAAGTAGCCCCCGAAAAATAAATTTTATTTTTTTTCCTGGTGAGGAGTGCATGAGAGATGAGACAGAGTGAGGGAGAGCGCGGGAGAGTGAGACAGGGATGGGGTGAGGCAGGGATGGGGTGAGACAGGGATGGGGTGAGGCGGGGATGGGGTGAGGCGGGGATGGGGTGAGGCGGGGATGGGGTGAGGCGGGGATGGGGTGAGACAGGGATGGGGTGAGGCAGGGATGGTGTGAGGCAGGGATGGGGTGAGACAGGGATGGGGTGAGTACAGGGATGGGGTGAGACAGGGATGGGGTGAGACTAGAGATAGGGGGTCGAGACAGGGATGGGGTGAGGCAGGGATGGAGTGAGACAGGGAAAGGGGTGAGCTAGGGATGGGAGGCCGGGGATTGGTAGGCATGGGAATTGGTGTGAGGTGCCAGGTGGGTGAGAGACAGGGATGGTGAGTACAGAGAATGGGGTGAGACATGGGATGGGGTGAGGCAGGGATAGGGTGAGACAGCGGATGGTGTGAGTCAGAGATGGGTGAGACAGAGATGGGGGGGGCAAGGATGGACTGAGAGCAGAGATAGGTGAAGACAGGAAGGGAATCAGCACGTAAATTGGAGCGAGACCGAAAATAGAGAACGGTGGCTGTGATTAACATCACTTGGCAGTAACGTAATCGCGAAACAACTGCCAGCGATTCTGTCCGCCCCACGCCCCCTCCCTGTGTGTTTTTAGGCATTGAGTGCCTATGCATTCGCAAGTGTGTGGTGCCATACATGTGTATGCTTCGCTATATTCTATGTATACACAGGGTCGTTAGTGGACTATCCAAAGTCTTATAAGTATTATTTGGCCAAAAATAAAATAAGGGTCCCCTTATTAGTTACTTATTTGGTGCAATCTATAGAAAAGCTACTTATAGTCCTATTTTTTTGCTCAAAGGACTAAGTTTTCAACATTTTCTGTGTTAAATCTGTGCATTGTGTATATAAATATTATTGGTGTAGCTTTAATAGTCAGTGATCTGATTCAGAAATCGCGGTAAAAAGTTATTATTTGGCCTTTATTTTCAACATGTGTCATAGTACTTATGAACCCCTGATATCAGATTACTTTGGTATATAGGCATACTATGTTTATGTATGTGTAATTGCATCACTATACTGAATGTATACAATACTATGTATATAGGTCAATACTAATGTATGTATGTGTATCATTCACTATATTCTTATGTATACAATACAGTGTATAATGGCAAATTACTATGTTATTGTAATGTGTATTGCATCACTATCACTATGTAATCCAATACTGTGTAATATATAGGGCAATTCTATGTATATGTGTATTGCGATCACTAATAACTATGTAATCCATACTGTGTATATATATGCAATACTGATTATGTATGTGTATTGCATCACTATATATAGTATACATATACTGTGTATGATTAGGCAATACTATGTATGTATGTGTATATAGGCAATACTATGTATGTATGTGTATATAGGCAATACTATGTATGTATGTGTATTGCATCGAGCCTCCCATCATTGCAGTGAGGAGTGCGGCGGTGTGGAGCTGCCAGCACCGGGAGGCTACGCTACCGGAATCACGTTCCAAGATCCCGAGACGTCCGCGAAGACTGAGGAACAGTTCATGAAGCTAGCCGAGGAGAACGAACTGAAGGTAGGAACCTTCGCGAACCGATGTGCACCCTTCCGAACCGATGGGAACATTTCCCGAACCCATGCGGATCTTCGCGATCTTATGGGATCTTTCCCGCACTGGTTCCTCGAGAACATATGGGAACTTTGGATGGGATTATGGGAATACAGATAGATCTTCATGAACTATGTCAAACCTTCATGAATATTTGCGTACTTTGCAAACTCGTTGTGAACATTTCTGACTAATTCGATTTGTTTGTTAATCTCTGCAAATTCAAGAAATCTTTTGCGCACCCAAGTCATTCTTTGCAAACCCTACACGTACCCACAGACATTCCTGAACGTGCGAAAACTTACGGAAACTTTTCCAAATTTGCTCGAACTCGTTGCTAATTTACACAAATCATTTTGGCTACGCGCCACAAGTCTTTGCAAATCTTTGCAAAAGTGATGTACAATCATCTGAAATGTACTCCTCCTCCTCCTCCTCCTCCTCCTCCTCCTCTTCCTCCTCCTCCTACTCCACTTCCTCTTCCTCCAGCTCTTCCTCCCTTCCTCCTCTTCCTACTCCTACGTCTTCTCTTTCCCTCCTCCTCATACTCTTCTTCCCCTCCTCCCATTCTCCTCCTCCTCGCCTTCCTCCTCCTCCTCCTCCTACTCCTCTTCTTCCCCTCCTAGTCCTCTTCTTTCTCCTCTGCCTCCTTCTCCCCGCCCTCCACCTCCTCCTCTTCCTCTTCCTCCTACTCCTCTTCTTCCTTTCCTAGTTTTCTTCTTCCCCCTCTGCCTCCTCCTCTTCTTTCTACTCCTCTTTCTCTTCTTCCTCCTACCCCTCTCCTTCCCCTCCCCTTCGCCTCCTCCTACTCTTCTTCTTCCCCTCCTAGTCCTCTTCTTCCCCTCTGCCTCCTTCTCCTCTTCTTTCTCCTTCTCTTCCTCTTCTTTCTCCTACTCCTCTTCTTCCCCTCCTAGTCCTCTTCTTCCCCCTCTGCCTCCTTCTCCTTTTCTTTCTCTTCCTCTGCTTCTTCTTCCTCCTACCCCTCTTCTTACCCTCCTCTTATCCCTCTTCTTCCCCTCCCCTTCTCCTCCTCCTACTCCTCTTATTCCCCTCCTAGTTCTCTTCTTCCCCCTCTGCCTCCTCCTCCTCTTCTTTCCCCTCTTTCTCTTCTTCCTCCTACCCCTCTTCTTCCCCTCTCCTTCTCCTCCTCCTACTCTTATTCCCCTCCTAGTCCTCTTCTTCCCCCTCTGCCTCCTTCTCCTAATCTTTCTTCTCCTCTTCCTCCACCTCCTTCTGCTTCTTTGGCTCCTCGTCCGCGTCTCTCTAATTCGCAAAACGTGAAAATCCTCGTCGCTCGCCGCTCGCGTCACATCTTCAGAATTTTTTGCGCCGATTCGTTTCAATTAAGCCGACGCCAATGGATGCTGCTGCTTCTTCTTCATCATCATTCATCTTATTCTCGAGGACTAGGACTCGTCGACGTGCGTGCGTGCGTGCGTGCGTGCGTGCGTGCGTGCGGCTCCACGTCGTAGTCGATTTTTGCCGTTTTTTACCGATTTTTACTGGGTTTTCACTAAGTAACGACGGGCGGACGGGGAAAAACGTGCAGTGACATGCGAACGTAGTCACAGCGCGCAAGCTGCTTAGACTGACAGCTACTGCTGCTACTGCTGCTGCTGCTGCTGATGGTGGTGGTGGTGGTGCTGGTGCTGGTGCTGCTACTGCTGCTGCTGCTGCTGCTACTGCTGCTGGTGGTGGTGGTGGTGCTGGTGCTGGTGCTGTTGCTGCTGCTGCTGCTGGTGGTGCTGCTGGTGCTGCTGCTGCTGCTGTTGCTGCTACTGCTGCTGCTGCTACTGCTGCTGCTGCCGCTGCTGCTGCTGCTGCTGCCGCTGCGGCTCTACTGCTGCTGCTGCTACTACTGCTTAGACTAACTGCTGCGTGATGACTGTCTACATAACTCACGGTCATAAACTACTCGTAATGAGGGGCGTGTGTAGGCGAGTATAAGTTCAAGTAGAAGTAGACGTGTAGGAGTGTAGCCATGTAGGCGTGTAGGCGTGTAGGAGTGGCACACGGTGTTTATGGCGAGCGGAGCGGCGAAATTAGAAGCAGCAATTCAGTTGTAATGTGTAATAATGACTTATAGTAATTGTAATATTAAATGATGGTGGTAAGAATAATAATAACATCTCAATTGAACCTTGAAGATAACCATATATATGTATAACCCCCCCCCCACATGTATAAATGTAGAAAAATACAATAAGGTGTTAAATTATATATATATATATATATATAGATAAAAGAGTGAACGTTATTTGCCAGAATTTTTTTCAGCATGGAGATAGAACGCGGCTTCAACTTAAGAAGTTTAATAATGTCCTGATCCAATTAATTATATGTTAAGCGCATGTTCAAGGCAGGCCAGCCACCACGCTTCCGCGTGTTCATGTTCACAGCGCCTTATGCGTGACGTAGCGCAAGTCAGTGCGTGACTTTAGCCAGCGGACGGTACTTTACGGGTCCGCATCGCTTAATCTTCTATCGATCGATATTCTGTCTTTCTGTCGAGTCAGCGCCATCCCGGCTTTGATTAGTGATTTAGTGGAGTGAACTTGATGTATGTCTGCTATCTCAACTGTTAATTCGCTGCAATCTGCGCTCGTGTGTGCTGTGGCAGTCAGGGGCG